GACGAAAATAATTCTTCTTTGAATAGGCTATATACTAAAGCAACAAATGCCACTTAAAATATTTAAATTAATTGCGTCAATTTCCTTAAAAGCTCATTGAAGTAAATTTTGGAAGAAATTATAAATCGCCATTTATGTGTAAAAATTGCCTAGAATATAAAAGAAAACTTCCTAAAATTGCATACGAGTAGCCAAAGGTTAATTCGGAGCTTCTCTAATAGATGGCGCTAAAGTCGTCTCGAACTAAATTCAAATATGCAGGTCCTTATTTAGGAGTTTACTAATTAATATGCATATCATTTCAATTATTAAACATATTCAATATTTGCGTAAGACATGAAGGATATGTAAGTAATGAGAGAATGCCTCAACTGTATACTTTGAGAAATTGATTTTACGTTTTGTGGTCCGGAAAATGCCTGTACGGAGGTGGTAAAAATTTAGAAAAACGACTAAACGGCCTCTTAGCAAAAATCGATTGCTTGCTTATTTTGTTGGATATCGGAGCCTAAGTGTTAATGGTACCTTTAGTTGTTTTATAAAATTGAATATTTCAAATAATTATACAAATCTAATATGCTTAAATGTATTTTTCTTTCAAATTAGGTTTTAACTTTCATGTATCCAGTAAAGTATAGGATTGTTTTTTTTCGACTTCTAGTTTTCAACTGTACTTTAGGTTTTGACGATAATTCAAAAATGAATAAACAGTAAATTTTAAACTTCAAATTTAATCTAATAAAAGCTAATAAAAGTTATATAGATTTGAAAAATAGATATTTTAAAAATATTTTTGGATATACAGGGTATTGCGTTTTTCCTGGCAAATAAAAATGTATGTTTTTTAGATAGAATATCCTGTATTTTATTCTATTTTTAGAATATTTTAGTAATACTGTATTCAATCCTAGAATATTTTTATAAAATATTACAGTAATGCCAAGCATTATCTTTTTTTGAAATTAGAGAATGATGCTGACCGCAAATTAAATTATCATAATTTAGGTAGGTTTACATTGATCTCAAAATTGTTTAATGTACAGACTTATAAGATACACTAAGCTAACGAATAGTGTAGATAGAACTGATTTTAAGTTCAATTTACTCAATTTTTTAAAATGCATCATCGTGTATATTATCTTATCATAACATTCCTTAAAAATTTGTCTATACAACAATACCAATATGTTAGCCAATAACACATGTACAGGGTGTTCCATTAGTGCATATTTGATAGATAGCTGTTTGTTTTATTATTAGAAAAACGACGAAATTTTTAATATAAAAGTTGTATGACCATATTAAACAATTATTCCTAAATATACAGGGTGGCCCATAAACGAGGTGCGAACCAAATCTATACTTTTTAAAAGCAAAACACCCTGCAGGTTGTTATAAGTTATACGTTTTCGTTTAAAATTTTAATTACGGATTTGTTGTTGCAAGAAGCAAAGACAAAAATGGTATCAAAATAAGGATGTTCTTAATCCTCGCCAAGTCAATATGCTTGTTAATTCAACAAACAGGATGGAAATAAGAGGTCAATGTTTTAATTACATATTTCATGTTTAACGCTGAGACAGAGAAAAAAACGAATGGCATTAGATGAAGAATGGGTGGTTACTTTAGTAGAACAGCCTAATAAATTTGATGTTTTTAAATATGGATCATCGAAATTAACTTCTATATCAACTAAGAAAATTTACAGTGCAAAAGTAGAGTCCTTAAAATTAACAGTAGACGAAAAGAGTCAAACGACTTTTTAGAGTTTTTTAAGTATTGTTGATACTCCAGATTTTTATAAGCCATTAAATAAAATACAATGGACAAAGACAATCAACAGAAAACTCAAAAACTCAAAAACTTTTTAACTTCTCAATCCTTGGATGGTCAACAGTTTCTTTAAAAAAATTTATTAGCAAAGGATATGGGTAGAAGCATTAATTATGCCGAAATATTTTAAGTTTGAGCTGACAGCCTCTCCGATGTATCTAACAGTAAATGGGTATCTCGGCACCTCCACAAATAAGAGTTCATTGGAAAATATTTTAGAACAATATGGCATTTAATCACAAAGACTTACCTGCACCTATTGACTCTGGCAAAACTTGTCACATTTTTGATGGGATGGCAATAGTCCAAGGTTTGGGAAAGTCCAAAAGTTGTATATCATTTAAAGAATATGCTAATGTATTTGTAAACGTTATTTTTAGAAATAAATTTAATGATTAAAGGATAGATGTGGTATATGATCATTATAAAGAACATTCTATCAAAAACTCGTCAAAAGAGAGGATCCCAGAAATCAATTGATGTAGAAATTGACCGACCCAATACTCCACTTCCGCAATAATGGAACTTGTTTATTCATTAGATATTTAACAAAAGACGTTTAACAAATTTTCTGTCAGAGCAACTTCTTCAAAATTCCATTCAGCAAAAGCATATTTAATTTGTAACTAGTGGTGGATTCGCGAATATCAATAAATATGGAACGAATTTTGAACCATCAAAAGATGATTTCTTAAATTCAAATCATGAAGAAGCTGATACTCGTATCTTATTGCACATATTGTCAGCCAAACATTCAGGGCATTCATACTGCATTATTGATTGCAACGATACAGATGTTCTAGTCTTAAAAATTTATTTTAAGAAGTATTTGACTAAAGAGATATGGTCCAGAACAGGGCGAGGAGACTCAAGACGATTTCTAGCAGTACATGATTTAAATTTGGATGATACCTTCTAAAAAATTTGCCTGCTTTTCATTCTCTGACCGGTTATGATACAACCAGCCAATAGTCTGGCATTGGGAAAAGAAAACATATTCTCTAATCTTGAAAAGTGTTTCATACAAATTTATTCAAAAACTGCCAATGTTACTTCCATTAACATTTTGAGGGGATTAATGGCCTCTTTAAAAACCATTGCTAAATTGCCACCGACTGAAGACGACCTTGTTTAAGATGTTTTTACCAGCTAAATATTTGGCTAAGCTCTTTAAAGCCGCAGATGCAGCTTCCTAATGTTAAAGAGTATGAATAGAAAGTAGATCAAGATGGAAGGCTGATACCCACTCTAAGACTCTGTCCGACCTGCCACCAGACATAACAGAACTTACATCATGCAAATGCAAAAAGGTACTATACACCGATAATTTTCATAGATGTACAATATTCTAACAATATTATTCTGTTCTAGACTAAGAAAGCAAAATTTGCAAATGCAGGAAAAAAATATTGGCTGTATCGGTTCCTGCACCTACCTGTATGGCACAGAAAAACTACAGCAAAAGTTTGACCACAGCCGCTAATGTTTTGGAAAATGTTGATTCGTGTGGTGAATCTGATTCTGATTAGTTTAAAAGTCTTGTACTTATAAATTTTATTAATAATAATTTATGCTTTATACCGGGTGTTCAAATTAAAGTGTTAAATACCGCCTATTATAAAAAAAACGTTTCAGACGAAAGTTTTATAGTTTTGTGGGGAAAAAATTTTGGCTAAAATCGTTTTTTTCAGCTAACCATAATATGGCCAACTTTTTTTTCGCCCAGCAAAATTTTACTCAAAAAGTAAAAGTCGAATAAAAAAATTATTTCCATCTAAAGTTTCTTATTTTTTTATGTACTTTAAGAATATTTACAAAAAATGGGGTTCCCATTTAAAAAAACAAAGTCCACCTCGATATGGCCATATTATAATCAGCTACAAAAAAAAATTTTTAGCCAAAATGTTTCCCCCAAAAAAACTATAAAACTTTTGTATTTGTATTTTGTATTTATTGTATTTTGCAAAGCAATAGCCTTACTGTTTATAATCGATACTTATATATACTGTGTTTATACCTTCAATAAATAGTTCATATTTTCTCATTTTTTATTTTCGTCAAAAATAAAAAAAATTATCATAGCGTATAAATCAATAATCCCTGAATAAAATAATATGAGAGAGTCAAACTGATTGCATACATTTTAGCACTGAGAGAGAAGAATAGAGAGTCGAGAAGCTTTACCTTCAATGTTTGCTTTCTAGTTAAACCATGACATAACTAATTGTTCATAGCTATATTTTTGTTAATATAAAAGCAAAAAATATGAGGAAAGCACTGTTACCTTGTTAATACATAGGCGAAACTTTTATGAAGAATAGTGTTTTCTCATTTAGGCGTTCGTTTTTCGTCAAATGAGAGGTATATTTCAAAAAAAAGATTTTTTATACAAATTTGTGGACGGTTGAAACCGAGATATTGACGTTTAAATTTTTTTTCGACCATAAGGGCTAATGCAAATGATTTTTTTAAAATAATTATAAAAAAACACTTCCTACAAAGACCTAATTGTGCATTAGAACAAAAAAATAAGCATTTTTTTTCTATATGGTGGTATTAATAACTCGATTTTTTATGATAGTGCCCTTTTGCACTGTCTAATTTTGTATTACCTCCGGAATAAGGGTAAGCTTATCATGTACTTTCATCCCTGAAAAATTCAGCTTGTGACACCGAAGTGGGAGGCAAAGTCAAAAAAATTTTAATCTATACCATACAAAAGCCCGTACCTGTGAGTTTAGAAGAATACATTTTTATTCGCAGATGCGAAAATGCAGAACGTATATTTGTTGCTTAGTTGCTAACTAGAGGCAGCACCTCTCGGATAACTTTATTTTGTCTCTCTCTGGGAGGACTTGTTCAGACTTCTCTGTTCCATTGCACGCCCTTAATATATTTTTTGTTAGGGAATTGTGTTAACTGCTCTATAGTTCCTTTTGTTAATTGGAACCACGGTAATAATTATTATTATTCTAGGTAAACATTGATAGGATGTAGCCATTGTGGTTATTCAAAGTGACTTTTGTCTACACAATTATTGATAAGACTACTTCCGAAAATATCGCCCTAAATAGTTGCACACAGATAAATTTGTTTTAAGTTCCTTAGGTTCGTAACTATTCCGATCGAGCCGGCAACACGGCGAACGAGATTCAACTGTCCGCTAGCGCGACGTGCCGCTAGCCGCTACCTTTTGAATGTTGCTCGCTGTTTAGAGTTAAAAACTCGAAACGCGCCTGGCCGTGAATACGAACGTTCGCGCTATAACGAACAGGTGTCGAGAAAAGTGCATTTTTCTTTGGCGAAAAGCGGGAAAACCGGAGAAAAGTCTGTCTAATGATGACAGAGACGGTGGTCAACGTGCAAGAAGCACCTAACAATAACGCGGCGAATAAACCGCAACAACCCGGAGCGCCAAGACAACCCGAATCGCCGCTCGCTTGGATTAAAATTAATGTGGAATATTTCAAGAGTACTCCGGGAATATTGAAATTAGTAGAATTTGTAAGTACAAAAAAATATTTTTATGCAAAGTTAACACTACCTCAATCGGATTGAAATGAATTTAATTATTATTAGACATAATTGGCATCTACGCAGAATTTTTGAAATATCATTTACGGATGGTATTTGCTAGTGTGGCCTTAATTTAGATCCTTGTAGTATATTAATGTTTTAATTCAGCATGATATTGCATTGCAATTTTGGTATAAAGATCTAAAAATACATGGTAACGTTAATAATAAAAATCTAAAGAGAAATATTAGTAGGAAAAAGTAAATTCTAATGATTTAAATTTCTTTTAAAATAAACACTGCTCAATAAATGAAATAGATACGAGTATATTCTAAATTTTAAAGTGTAAATATTTGAAATAAAAACTGCAGGGAAATTTAATCAAATTATATAGTATGAATTTTATGATTTAACCAAAAACTAATCTTCAATAAAAAAAAAAATTATAATAATTTAAAAATAAGCTAAAATTTTATAAAAATCTACAAACAATTATACCTTGTAAACTCTGGTTTCATAACATGTCTGTAAACAAAAATATTATGTTAGCCACAATTTGCGGATCCTGCACATCTTCATAAAATACATTTAGAAGATGATCCATTTTGCGTGTGCGGAGAAATAGGAACAACAGGAAGGTGAATTAAATAAAAATTTAATTAATCAATTTTACGACATTACAAAACCTTACAATTTAGCCCAACTTTTAGAAATAAAAAAACGTAAATTATTTTATGTACTATACAGTGAGCATCATAAGTCTTACCCCCCTCTAACTAACTCGTTACTGGAGTCTTGTTAGGAAAATCGCCGAGACAGGTCGATTTTTGATTTCTACAATGTACATTTTTGTATGATTAGTTTATCCTTAATTTCATCCCTTACTGGAGGGGAGCAACCCTTTCGAAAAATTTAAATGGCATGGGGTGGTGAGTGATAGCTCATTTGAAAGGGGGTTTTATTCTCTATTCAACCATGCAAAAAATTTTAAAATTTGCTTCATTACGTGTTGATTTATTAATGTTTAAAAATAACAAATCCTCACAAAATAGGAAAGCAACTAAACTAACAGTGACCTTCTAATGGCAAAAAGTCTTACTTCACGTCTGAACCAAAACCGAAATCATGCAGGGCCGAATTTTAATTCTAAGGATGAGTGCGCTACGTTAATTTCCGTTATTCTGAAACAACAATTAGTCGAGAATTAATGAAGCAAATTTCAAAAAATTTTACACGGTTGAATAGAGAATAAAACCCTCTTTCAAATGAGCTATCACTCACCACCCCATGCCATTTAAATTTTTCGAAGGGGTTGCTCCCCTCCAGTAAGGGATGAAATTAAGGGTAAACTATTCATACAAAAATGTACATTGTAGAAATCAAAAATCGACGTGTCTCAGCGATTTTCCTAACAAGACTCCAGTAACGAGTTAGATAAGGGGGGTAAGACTTATGGTGCTCACCGTATAAACACTTTGTAAAATTAAAAGTAAAAATATAAAAAAGATTTATACAGGGTGTATCAAAATAAAAGGTCATACATTATACCACATATTCTTTGATCAAAAATAGGTCAATTGAACCGTACAAAATTGCACACACAAAAAGTAAAAATTTATATAAATCTTTTTAACATTGCTCTTAAGCCGTTTATCATTTTTTCATGAAATTGTATATAGCCTGTTAGAATACAATAACTAATAAAGCCGAGGCAGAGGCAATATTTTGTTCTCGAATCTTGTAGGTTTTTTACCACCCAACTTTTTTATGGTATACACTTTAGTCAAAAATGGACGACACTGGAATTCAACATCCATTTTAAAATTTTTTTGTCTCTTAGTATTTGTTTGTAAAATGTTTAATTTAAACAATACTGCCACTTACTTGTTAAAATTCTAAGTTTTCAAAAATATTAGGTTTATTATTGAATTACAACTATTAACCTCAAAAAATACAATAATTTAATTTAAACAGGTGTTCAAAATGACCTTTTTTTCTGTATATACATTCTACATAGTTGAATGAAAATCGAATTTTTTAAAAAATAATGTTTTTTTCAAACTCGTAAATAATAATAAATAATAAGTTGAGGCCGAACAAGGGGCACGTATGCTATACCACAAACAGGATATTCATGAGAACTAATGCGCAAAAATAATAAATTTGGCGCCTAAGTCAACAATAATGAGAAAATATTGACTGTAGATTCTGATAATTACTAAATCTTTATATCGGAGTATGTAGGGGCGCGCTCCAAAACATCATAGCATTTATTATATACTACCAAATGTATCAAATCGGGCATCTGCAGACTCAGAAATTATTACTCTTTAAAAAAAAAATTACATAATTGTTTCATAGCGATCTTCGTCTTAATCCGCGCAGAAATTCTCATTTTGTTGAACATTGCAAATCAACCCCCTACTTTGGCTCGTCGTAGAGCGGAAACTATTGACCGTAGATAAAAAAATATACAGCTCAAAATTGTGCACCATTTTGTCCTGTACATATTTTATTTAAACTTTCTTTCGATAGCACTTACCACAACAGCACTATTTCACGAAAAGCGTCGCGACGCCAAGTTTTCAGCCCTCCACCACTCGAGCGGCAACCCCCCGAGGTCGCAAACTTAGGTGTAGTATCAAGGGACCCATGTCTACCGTCTCACCAAATTTCATTTCTTTTTCGAACTTTTGCGAATAGAAACCACCCACCGCTTGGACTATACCTACAGGATCATGAATTATTTTCAGCTCTTTTAAATAAGAAACTTATATCCCTTTTGTATTTAATCAAATTATTATAGTAACGCGCCTATGAATTCCAAAAATATTAAGAATTTTGATGAGAACACTCTAATGTCGAAACAACACTCAAAAATTTGCCAAGATTGACCCACAATAGTACCTATATTAGTGAAGGCGTCTAAAAATATCTTCAGTTCTGAAAAAATCTCGAAACGCGACGCTCATTCAGATTAACGATAGAAACTCGTTTTACCAGATTTACTTTAAAACTGGTATTTAAAGTAATAAAAAATATATTAATAGAAAAATCGGTAATTATTTTCTAAACAATGACGGAAACAGTGATAACAGTGTATCCAGAATCACCGAGTTACGTCGGTAGAGCCCCTTCTGGTAAACTTTCGCTAAATCCGAATTACTTCTTGACACCTCCTGGAATTCTGAAAATATTAGAATTTGTAAGCCAATTTTTTTTAATTGAGTATTAAAATTGTATTGTCAATGTTTTATTTAAATTTAATAAATTTATTTCTAACTGACGAGTCCTAATATAGGGACAAAACCGGTCCAAGAATGACATTCTTCTTGTAAAGCAAACAATGTAGAAAATAATGGATAATTTTAGCATTTGTTTTTAAATTGACAGTTGAGTATATAAGGACTATGATCTACCGCTTACCACGTTATTTTTTTTTTAATATCAACCGTATTATTTAAATTTCGCGGGCTTGATGTCACCATACCAAATGCTTAGCCTAGTCACATGCATTAATAAGGAGTGTATGATCTAGAGCAATTAATCGATAACGTCCGATGAGTCTTTGCTTTGATAATCGTATTGTTGAGTACCAAATAAGTTATTTGTGATACTCATTAAAATAATGTTTAAAATAATTTTAATAAAAAAATTTGATAATTGTCGGAAATCAGGGATAAAGAGATATTAATCTCTAACATTGTGTTCAATCAAAAAATTCGGATATTCCAATCGATTTTAATCGATAATTCTTGAAATCGAGATGTCAGTTATATATAATGATATTATGATATTTCGTATGTCTCAAATTATAATATTTAATTTTGTTTAGATTTGAATCGGTTTTCACAAAACCTTGCTTAATTTTTCACAAAACCTTGTTTTGTTTTTCACAAAAATAAAATATAACAAAGTGTAAACAAGCAGTTGGTCTCACACACAGTTCGTAGACTGAAACGGTGGCCTCATTCCGGTGTGACGGAGTGACGTCACGTAATGAAAAAAGTGAGTTTACAGAAAATATTCTACTTAGGTTCGTACATTAATTTTTTAAAAAATCTAATATTTTATTGTTATTTAGTGATGTTTACATTTTTATTTATGAATTATGTTTTAGTGTTAGAGTTTTTATAATATCAGTAGTTTTATTTTTTGAAAGATAACCTACAAAACAGGAAAACCATGTAATGATTTTCATAAAATTTCAAATTAATTACTTTTTATTTGAAAATGAAAGAGAAATATTATTGTGTAATTGGTTTATTTTAAACATTCTGGGTTAGGGTACGGCCTCCGAGCCAATCTCGGATCACACTTTATTTAGCGGAGCGAGCTGTTGGCAAATAATTTTTAGACACAAAAATCATTATAAGAAAAGGACTGTACCTAAAGAGTATTATTCTGCGATTATCATTCATTATTTTTAACTTAATTGCAGCTTTGTCCACCCTATATTTAAAAGCAGATAAGATGGTTTCTTACAACAATTAAATAGAACCAATTCTAATTTCAAAACATTAAACTACTGATATTATAAAAACTGGAAATTAGTCCAAAAATAAAAATATAAACACTTCGATTTTTCATTCTGTAACGTCACACATCCGTCCCTAGCAACCGGGCGAGACCACCGTATTGTCTACAAACCCTGGGCACGGCATATGCCGTGCCCTGGGCACATGCCTGTCACTCCCTATACTTCCCATGTTAAATTCTAGCTCAAATCTCAATGACCTCGGTACCTCTGTCCTATTGGTCCTGGCTATTTTTGACAAGCCTGGGGTCACCAATCAGCACGTTGGTTGCTGACACATGAGACAAATAACATCTAAAAGTAAAAAATATTCAGGTTTTAAGTCACTTGAAAACATAAATAGTGTGGTTATTACAAAATTTATGTTTTTTTGGTTTTTAAAATAATGTTGACATCAATGCCTCCTCCCTATTGGTCTGGAGTATTTTTGACAAGTCTGGCGTCACCAAAT